AATTTCAACATTTCGACCAAAGATCCTTAATCTGCATGTCGAGGACGACCTATCCTAGGATTTTCAGCAAATTTAATTTTTTTACCCAAAAAAGTACAAGGCTAACCCCTTGATCATTTTTGGGATAAAAAAATTATTTTTGTTCAAAATCACAGTATATGTCGTCCTTGACATGCTGATTAAGGATCTGTGCTCGAATTGTTGAAATTTTTATAATTAATTGTCTTAAATGTATGATAGATTATGAAGTTTTGATAATTAATTATGTAATTGATTTGAGGACATGTAATAATCTGAATAAATTATCAAAATTTCAACATTTCGACCACAGATCCTTAATCTGCATGTCGAGGACGACCTATCCTAGGATTTTCAGCAAATTTTATTTTTTTACCCAAAAAAGTACAAGGCTAACCCCTTGATCATTTTTGGGATAAAAAAATTATTTTTGTTCAAAATCACAGTATATGTCGTCCTTGACATGCTGATTAAGGATCTGTGCTCGAATTGTTGAAATTTTTATAACTAATTGTCTTAAATGTATGATAGATTATGAAGTTTTGATAATAAATTATATAATTGATTTGAGGACATGTAATAATCTGAATAAATTAAAAAAATTTCAACATTTCGACCAAAGATCCTTAATCTGCATATCGAGGACGACCTATCCTAGGATTTTCAGCGAATTATATTTTTTTACCCAAAAAAGTACAAGGCTAACCCCTTGATCATTTTTGGGATAAAAAAAATATTTTTGCTCAAAATCACAGTATAGGTCGTCCTTGACATGCTGATTAAGGATCTGTGCTCGAATTGTTGAAATTTTAATAATTAATTGTCTTAAATGTATGATAGATTATGAAGTTTTGATAATTAATTATGTAATTGATTTGAGGACATGTAATAATCTGAATAAATTATCAAAATTTCAACATTTCGACCAAAGATCCTTAATCTGCATGTCGAGGACGACCTATCCTAGGATTTTCAGCAAATTTTATTTTTTTACCCAAAAAAGTACAAGGCTAACCCCTTGATCATTTTTGGGATAAAAAAAATATTTGTGCTCATAATCACAGTATAGGTGGTCCTTGACATGCTGATTAAGGATCTGTGCTCGAATTGTTGAAATTTTTGTAATTAATTGTCTTAAGTGTATGATAGTTTATGAAGTTTGGATAATTAATTATGTAATTGATTTGAGGACATGTAATAATCTGAATAAATTATCAAAATTTCAACATTTCGACCAAAGATCCTTAATCTGCATGTCGAGGACGACCTATCCTAGGATTTTCAGCAAATTTAATTTTTTTACCCAAAAAAGTACAAGGCTAACCCCTTGATCATTTTTGGGATATAAAAATTATTTTTGTTCAAAATCACAGTATATGTCGTCCTTGACATGCTGATTAAGGATCTGTGCTCGAATTGTTGAAATTTTTATAATTAATTGTCTTAAATGTATGATAGATTATGAAGTTTTGATAATAAATTATGTAATTGATTTGAGGACATGTAATAATCTGAATAAATTAAAAAAATTTCAACATTTCGACCACAAATCCTTAATCTGCATGTCGAGGACGACCTATCCTAGGATTTTCAGCAAATTTAATTTTTTTACCCAAAAAAGTACAAGGCTAACCCCTTGATCATTTTTGGGATAAAAAAAATATTTTTGCTCAAAATCACAGTATTGGTGGTCCTTGACATGCTGATTAAGGATCTGTGCTCGAATTGTTGAAATTTTTATAAATAATTGTCTTAAATGTATGATAGATTATGAAGTTTTGATAATTAATTATGTAATTGATTTGAGGACAGGTAATAATCTGAATAAATTATCAAAATTTCAACATTTCGACCAAAGATCCTTAATCTGCATGTCGAGGACGACCTATCCTAGGATTTTCAGCAAATTTTATTTTTTTACCCAAAAAAGTACAAGGCTAACCCCTTGATCATTTTTGGGATAAAAAAAATATTTTTGCTCAAAATCACAGTATAGGTCGTTCTTGACATGCTGATTAAGGATCTGTGCTCGAATTGTTGAAATTTTTATAATTAATTGTCTTAAATGTATGATAGATTATGAAGTTTTGATAATTAATTATGTAATTGATTTGAGGACATGTAATAATTTGAATAAATTATCAAAATTTCAACATTTCGACCAAAGATCCTTAATCTGCATGTCGAGGACGACCTATCCTAGGATTTTCAGCAAATTTTATTTTTTTACCCAAAAAAGTACAAGGCTAACCCCTTGATCATTTTTGGGATAAAAAAAATATTTGTGCTCATAATCACAGTATAGGTGGTCCTTGACATGCTGATTAAGGATCTGTGCTCGAATTGTTGAAATTTTGGTAATTAATTATGTAATTGATATGAAGACATGTAATAATTAGAATAAATTATCAATATATCAACATTTCGATCACAGATTCTTAATCTGCATGTCGAGGACGACCTATACTGTGATTTTGAGCAAATTTTTTTTTTTTTTACACAAAAAAGTACAAGGCTAGCCCCTTGATTATTTTTTTGGATAAAAAAATTAATTTTGTTCAAAATCGCTCTATAGGTCGTCCTTGACATTCAGATTAAGGATCTGTGGTCGAATTGTTGAAAATTTGATAATTAATTGTCTTAAATGTATGATAGATTATGAAGTTTTGATAATTAATTATGTAATTGATATGAGGTCGCATGCACTGAGACCCTCACATAGGCACTGAGACCCTCACATAGGCATTGAGATCCTCCCACAGCCATCGAGACCCTCCTACAGGCACTGACACCCTTCTATAAGAACTGAGACCCTCTTACAGACAATGAGACCTTCTCAGAAGCACTAAGTACCTTCTACAAGCATTGAAACACTCCCACATGCACTGACACCCTGCACCAAGCTCTGAGACCTTCTAATAGGCACTAAGACCCACCCACAATTACTGACACCCTCCTACAGGCAGAGTGACTTCCCTCTATAAACACTGAATCCCTCCAACAAACACTGACACTGTTCCACAGATTATGGCACTCTCCCACAAGCACTGAAATTGTGTCACAAGCACTGAGACCCTCCCATAGGTACTGAAACCGTCCAACACGCAGTGAGACCCTTCCAAAGGCACCGAGACCCTCCCACAGGCACTGAGACCCTCCCACTAGCACTGAGACCCTCCCATATGTACTGAGACCCTCCCACAGGCACTGAGACCCTCCCATATGCACTGAGACCTTCCCATATGCACTGAGACCCTCCCATATGCACTGAGACCCTCCCACAGGCATTGAGACCCTCCCACAGGCACTGAGACCCTCCCATATGCACTGAGACCCTCCCACAGGCACTGAGACCCTCCCATATGCACTGAGACCCTCCCACTGGCACTGCGACCCTCCCACAGGCACTGACACCTCCCATATGCACTGCGACTCCCACAGGCACTGCGACCCTCCCACAGGCAATGAAACCGTCCAACACGCACTGATACTGTCCCACGAGCATGAAAACCATCCCACAGGCACTGAGACCCTCCCACAGGCACTGAGATCCCCCCCAAGGCACTGAGACCCTCCACAGGCACTGAGACCCTCCCACTAGCACTGAGACTCCATATGCACTGAGACCCTTAAATGCACTGAGACCCTTCCAAAGGCACTGAGACCCTCCCATATGCATTGAGACCTTCCCACAGGCACTGCGACCCTCCTACAGGCACTGAGACCCCCCCACTGGCACCACCCTCCCACAGGCACCAGACCCTTCTAAGAGTCACTGACTCCTCCTGCAGGCACTAAGACCCTCCACAGGCACTGGGACCCTTCTACAAACAGCGCCCACCTCCATACAGGCACTGAAACACTCCTACAGACACTGAGAAACTCCCACAGGCACTGAAACCTCCCACAGGCACTGAGACCCTCCCACAGGCACTGGAGAAACTCCCACAGGCACTGAGACACTCCAACAGGCACTGAGACCCTTCCACAGGCACCGAGACCCTTCCACAGGCACCGAGACCCTCCCACAGGCACTGAGAAACTCCAATAGGCATTGAGACCCTTCCACAGGCACTGAGACCCTTCCACAAGCACTGACACCCTCCTACAGGCACCTAGACCTCCTATAGCCACTGAAACCCTCTACAGGCACTGTTACTCTCCCACAAGGACTGACACCTACCTCTAGGCACTGGGACCCTCCCACAGGCACTGTGACCCTTCCACAGACACTGATACCTTCCCACAAGCACGGAGACCCGTCCAGAAGCAGAGACCCTCCCACAAGCACTGAGACCATCCTATGCGCATTGACACCTTCCCACAGGCACTGAGACCCTTCCAAAAGCACTGAAACTCTCCCACTGGCACTAAGACCCTCCCAGAGGCGCTACATAACTTCCACAAGCACTGACACCTTCCTACGGGCACTGGAATCCCCCCAGAAGCAATGAAACCCTCCCATAGGCTTTGAGACCCTATTGCCAGCACTATTATTGTCTAGTTACTATATCACTGTCGAACTTACAAATGCCATTGTCAAGTTACAATACCACTGGAAAATTTTAATATTAATAAAAAATGGGAAATTTTTTAATCAAAGAAAATTGGGAATTTTAATCATAGAAAATGGGAAATTTTCATCATAGAAAATAGGAAATTTTATAGATATGTATGTATACAGTACTTGTGTACATCTAAACAGGAAGATAAATCAGTATCACTTGCCAGGTTTTTATGGACAGAAACCACCAAGCCCGGCGTTATTGGTGCCAGTTGGCTGAAACGCACTGTCTGTAGTTCCAAGAAGTGCATGTCACTCGACTCATCAGAATTGAAATACAAATCCTCATAACAAATATATTGTATTCAGGAAGGGAGGGGGGGGGGGAGGCCCTAAGTGATGGGTGCCCTCCACACTGCGCAGCCTCACAGACCTGGGGCCGGTCCCATCTACATACTAGGGTATAATGAAAGATATATTATTTTGTATTGTATTTTCTACAAATATGTGCAAACACACTGTGAATTATATACATAAAAGATCTTCAAAACATTTTAACTTCTATATCTTTACAAATTATTCAAAAAATCTGTAGGAACATTAGATTTTATGGCTGTTGAAGAGTAGCAATTGTTTATTAAAACTAGAAAATTAAAAAAAAAAAAATCTTAGTTTGTTAACAATGGGAGGGAGTCTTAAGTTCGACTCTTTTAAACATCCTGATGCACTCAGTTTACAGTGTTAATTTATATTGCTAAAAATTAAATCTATTGTTAATTCAGGCTCACGTTAGATACACCAATCCCTGCCTCTAGCTCAGATACAGACAACCAGTCAAAACCTCTGGTCTAGAGTAGGTTGACGAGTCACTATGACTACGGTAGTTCAGACAAGATGGACCAATTACATATACTGCTTCTCCTTCAAGTGCTTCAGGAACATTTGGAGGCGGACTCAAGACCATGTGGAATGTCTTGAAACTCCTGAATTATGGAATGAATTGTTTTTTTGGTGTTTTTTTATAAATCTTACAATATCAACTACATATGACTGAGAGAGTAGATATTATAATACTAACCTGGTGAGTTTGCACAAACCTACAGTTGGCACGTCTTGTAAAAATTAGTCTCTCTATTATCTTACACTATGTACATATTACACACTCCTATGGAAGACAAGTGGGCCCTTTTAAAACTTCACAAAAAAATGTGGCAAATTACATATGGGTTCTCACCAATGTGGGACACTCACTATATTCTGCCAATGGGGAGGAAAGGCAGCAGACAGTGACAGTTCCCCACTTTGGTGTAGGTCCCTGATAGCAACATTCATGGGAGGAAAAGCTTAAGTTCAAAATTATAACTACAGAGAACTAGATTTTGTTTCTTCAACAATACCTGTCAACATAGGAAAAGTTTTGATTTCGTAATGTGGATCTTCAAAAAGTCACTTGATAAAAATATAGACGGCATTACTGTATATGTTTAAAAAATAGTCTAAAAAATAATTATAAGTTTTAAGACTATTAAAACTAAGCTTACATGAGTACTCCCACATCGTCCATGAATGTAATTGCTGTACATAATCTTACACTTAGCTAACTTAAACAAGAAGTTTGGATGGATTATCATAAACTGCCAAAGCAAGATTTGCACGGCAGACCCCACATGACTTCACTATGTTGACCTTACGTGATTCTGTACAGTTTTAGGATATAAAAAAATAGTTGAATATGCCTTAGGTAATTAACAAAGACTAATCAAATTAATGCATACCTATATTATATACTGTACACTAATTCTTTTAAACTGGCCAATTCATTTCACATGCAGTATAACTAAATCACATGTGTAATGGAATTTAAATGCAATTGTTCTGAGTGCAAAACAATTAAAAAAAAATCCTAAAGACTGCAGAGGTACAAGTAGTCAACAGTTATTGAATAAAGTATTACAAACCAGAAAAGTCAGCCCTTTCCTTGCCTTTCCAAATGCTTAGGCCTTCTCATACATCCACAGACACTCACTCATGCATTCTAAGTGTGTGACTATTTCTAATGTTCTATATATACACATCAGGAGCACACAATTATTAGTAGTATGCATTGTGTTGTTCCCTCTTGCAATAAACTTGTGCCTGGTTGGAACTGAATCTCCACCCAGTGACACTAGTGTTAGGCTAAGATCAGGTTCACAGGTAGTTTTTTTGTTTTTTTTGTTTTTTTTGTTTTTGAAAAATAGGTACATTATTTTTACAAAGATTGCCAATCCCTGCAACAATGAAGCCCATCTCTGGTATGTGGCTTGTGATGGCAATTCACAGACCACATCTAGAACACAACCTTCATTTGACTTAAAATGTTTACGAAGACTGCACCATCACAAACTTGTTTCTCTGACAGGTACAGTCTAGGGTTTTTTTTTTAAGTACTGGTACTATATCATGTTAGTACTTATAGATAGAGGTATCCTTTTTATTTCATTTTCACTTATTTTTTTATTTACTGACTCACACTGCACAAGTTTGTAACATGGCATATTGTTCCGTGTTTCACTCTCTATCCATTTTCTCCTTGTCTTATACACACTGTACATTGTTCTCTGATAGTTTATCTTGATAGCAAGGCCTCTTTTGTTCAACTGATGACAAAATTCTTTTGTTTACCAAGTTCTGATATCTGTGAGATTTACAAATTAAGGTTATTTGTCCCACACAATCTTTGTTCCTTTCTATTTGTTGGTCACCAGTTACTAGTTTTCTCCATCTCACTAAGTGCCCACTCACCGCATCTCATCACAAAACCTAATGAGAGGTGCATCACCGTGGGTTACAAGGTTAAGGTCACGGTTCTCCACCTGGACAGAATCAATGCAACCATGGAAGCCTTGGTAGTAGGCATGAGGGAGGCCTTCTGGCATCTTTGGAGATCCACCTGAAAATCAAAGAACAAAAATTAATAAATTTAAGCTGCCAGTATAATTTACCCAGAAAAGATGTGTATACTGTATTGTGTTTAATACCATAGAATGAAATAAGGAATTGGATGGGAAAAAATCTCTTAGTGTACCATTACAGTAAATCAACATAATTATTTTTTAAGTTTGAAATCAACATTAATAACAAAAACTTGTACCTACGACATAACAGCACATCTCACTGGCTTATTAACCTTCAAGTTATGTTAACCTACTTCCTCAATCCTTAATACACAAAAACAAAAATAATATTATTATTATTCACCTATCCATAGTTTGCCATTAGTATTAAGAGTGGTAGCACCGCGGTCAGCAACACCCTTAACTGGCCGCTCATTGTCCACTCTGAGAACTCCAAGGCGCTTCCTCCTATGAACCACCAGTGTGTGCCACTGACCATCATCCACACGAACCTGCAGACGATGAAAGCATTTAGAAAATGGGATGGTGGACACAAACAGGCACAATGTAAACTTTTAACAATATAATAGATATACTGTATGTACTGGTACTGGTATCAGAAATTAGTCCCAGCTAATGTTGACAATTCTTTTTCACACATAAGTACCGGTATTGATAAATTATAAGGGAGTCGGATTAAATCCAATCGGGAATTTGACATAATTGGATCAGTTTTATATAATTTTATCTTTGGTGAAACATTAAACAGAAATGTAAATGGTAGGTACTGTATCCTAACACAATCATCAATAGTAACACAAACTACAGTAGTCATATCCTAGCCACCAATTTGAAAATTATCAGTCATTTTACCTTGGATCTTATAATAAGCATGGTCTGCTGTGTGCCTAGGTTGAAGGAGAACTCAACAAAGCCTCCAATGATTGCCAGGGAGAGGTAGTCTCTGGATAGGGTGGTGCCTTTGTTAAGCCACACCAGTACACCATCTGGAGCTGTAGCACGGAACCGTATCTCAAAGTGGTTGGTGGTCTGGCCACGCTTGCTGTTAGGAAAGGGTGGAGTCTAAGGTTGTTGCTACAGTAAACAAGATTAATTTTCAGAGAAATCTTCAAATAAATTTTAAGACATTACAAAGTTAACCCTTGAGAACAAATCTGGAAACATTATATTCTTATAAAAATACAGATGCACATGCAGAATTATGCAACATAAAAAAAAAATTCCTTTATCTATCCTTTGTCCTACTATGAGGGAGGTGAGGATAGGGGTGGGGGAGCTGGAGGGAGGGGGCTAGCGGCAGGGGAGTGGGATTATAATGTACAACATTCAATTACTTCTTATGCTTTCCAATATGAATTCCAATTTCTCCGAGATTCTTTTGATTTTAAGTAATCTGGGCAAGTACTAAGGTATTTAACCTAAGAGAACATGTCATGAAATTGTATGTAGTTTCATTGCCTTTCATAAACACCAACTATATAATGCTACCATCTCCCACACCAAGACAGGGTGATGCACACATACACACAATGTTCCCACATGTTAACTATCAACTCACACTACTGTATACCCTTCAGTTTTGAACATCCACCAATGATTTCTAAAGTAAGTTTGACAATGGCCATCAAACAGATAAGACGACTGCCACTTACTTGATAAATAAAATATACGAAAATAATAAATGTTGCTTCAGCACAAAAAGAGAAGAGAACAGAAGCTACTAAAATACAAACACATGGAAAATGGTTCTATCGGAGAGAGAAGGGACACATCACATGACAGTGCCGCTATGAATAATCCGAACTAATCTTTCTCCCACCTATAACAAAACCATTACATAAATTAGATAAAATTGCAGACATGCTTATTGAAAACAGATAAGTACTACAGAAAAATATATCATGCTGTTAGTAAAAGCTTCTCACCCTCCCAGTTCCTCTCCCTCTGCTTCTTGCTCTATTGTCTTGTCATGCACCAGACTGTTCTCCTCCTGTTGGGTGTCATCTTGTAGTGTCTCTAAGGCATCGTAGTACTCCTGCTCCTCCATCATGGCTTCGTCGTCATCGTACAGAGAAAGAAGACCAGAACCATCCTCTAATTCCTCAACATCTTCACCCAGGGAGATCAATTCTTCTTCCTTCTTCTTTTCCAGCAACTCTATTTCCTCCACCTTCTCCTCCTCCTCCTCATAATCTTCTTCTTCTAGGAAAGCAATGTCAGCGTCTAGATCATAATCAGTTGGGTAGCTGAGGTCAACATCCGTCCAGGGCTCCGGGAAGTCATATACTACATCATAGTCATCAGCAGTGAGGTTGTAATGGGTCAGGTTACTGTGGTGAAGCCCAATACCCAAAGATGCAGAGGGATGGGTTAGTAAGAGCCATTAGTATGAAGAGTGGTAAGATTGGGAGGAACAAGCAGGATGAAGGTGAGAGAAGTAGGAAGAGGAAGACAGTTTTAAGGGTTAGAAAAGGAAGAGAGGAGATTTTTTGTTTTAACTAAAACAATGAAAGAAGGTGGAGATACATAGAGTTTTACTTTTATGTTTGTAAAGTCTTTTTACAAACAAAGAAATAAGCTGAAATATTTGCACACAATGTATTTAAATTACTAAAGCACGAGATGTTATTATATTTGTTAGTAACAAAAGACATTATCTTAGCAATTAGGTGTAGGCAACACCCTAAGTGGCATACAGTATGTGCTTCAAACACAAGAACGTCATAAAATTCTGCTAATCTATTAACTAACCACACTTATATATTAACTACGTATCAAATAGCAGCTGTACTATATAGCATATCTAATGATGTTTCCACCACCTCCCACAACTACACTAAGTAATGCAGTGAACTGTACTGCATTTTCTTACCCAGCAATGTTAATATAAATAAATTACATTTACCTACAAGTTTATGGGCAAGCTCCCCCAAGTCACATTTAATGTCGAGTCATGTGTTGCAACTGCATTGTTAACCATCAGTGGTTACTAAACATTCATGCATTCTTTGCTACAGCTGTCCCTCAACTCTACAAACACCTGATCTTGTAACATTTTAAAGAGCATTAGTGCATAACCAAGACTTCACTATGCAAAAAGCAGTAATGATGCACAGCATTCTCTACCCATTATCAAAATACTTCTCCACTTGAGCAGTTCCAAATAGCCCATATGGAAAGGATGCAAATTTCAAGAATCTTTCTAGAGCTGAAAAGATGCTCCTACCTGCTAAGTAAATGCTATGCTATATCAGCCAGAAGGAAGCCTTTGATAGCTATTGTACTAAAAGATATTGTCTTATATGCTGTAACTCCTGACATATGAGGAGTAATGGTCAGCCAAAGCAGCAGCTTGTGTCATTGTTAAACAAACTGGAACTGTCTGACACATTCTAATGCATATGTATCATTAGCAACATTTGTAGTCCTGTAAAAACTTTATAATCACTTACATTCTATACACCATGTTGGGGAACTTGAGGAAAGTCTTGCCATCAAACTTGACTGGTTTCATCATTTGTTCCTCATCAACATCTGAGATGGGAAGAGGGGCATTAATGTGACATGTAATAAGAACATTTATCAACAGAACAACAAGTGCAAAACATTCCCTACCAATACTAGAGAATATATATATATATATATATATATATATATATATATATATATATATATATATATATATATATATATATATATATATATATATATATATATATATATATATATATATATATATATATATATTTCATTTTTAGTCCGTATAACACACGGACTTTGAACATATAATCAAAGACCTCACCAGCCAGGACCCAAACCCTCGACCTAATGCATGGGACCAGGAAACGTTACTGACCATACCACAAGAGCACTAAATGCAGTTCTAGACTATGTGATATTTCACACAAAGCCTGTTCATCGAGCTGATTGCGCCGTGAACCTCTCATTGGGAACTGCCCCTGCTGCTTATGTGGATGTCAGTAGCATTTTACCGAATCCAGCTGGTATGAAACACGAGGTACCATGTATTATTTTAGTCTTTTGAACATAATCTACTCGACTGAATTTCGATGCAGGGACCAGGAACACACCGACTCCAATGGCAGTTCCCAATGAGAGGTTCACGGCGCCATCAGCTCGAGGAACAGGCTTTGTGTGAAATATCACATAGTCTAGAATTGCTTTTAGTGCTCTTGTGGTATGGTCGGTAGTGTTCCCTGGTCCCATGCATTAGGTCGAGGGTTCGAATCCTGGCTGGTGAGGTCGTTGATTATATGTTCAAAAGTCCGAGTGTTATATGGACTAAAATTGAAATATATATATATATATATATATATATATATATATATATATATATATATATATATATATATATATATATATATATATATATATATATATATATATATATATATATATATATATATATATATATATATATATATATATAGAGTACACACATATACAGTATATTACTTTGGCCAAGTAATTATACAGATATCAAACTGTGAATGGCAGATCCTTAATCAGCATGTTCAGGAGTATATATATACTGATATTTTGAACAAAATCGGGGAGAACAAGATTATGGCCAAAACGGTAAGCCTTACCCCTTATAGGATTTTTCGGTTGAAATCACCTTTTTTCTCAGAATTTAAATTTAACATGTCTATCTACTTAAGTACATCCAGAATAACTCATAAACACCAAAAAGTCACCTTGAAAAACCATAGGCAGTGAGTAATTAGCCTTAGAAAAGTAATTAGAATTAAAAAAGTAATTACAAATTTCGAAATGTCATTTGGACAAATAATTATACAAATATCAAACGGTGGATGAAAGATCCTTAATCAACAGGTTCGGGAATACTTATACAGGTATTGATATTTTCAAAATGGTGAGATCAAGATTATGGCTGTAACATGTTTTATTCTTAAATATATTAATACTGTACTTGGACAAAAATAAAATAATACACTGTAATAATCAAATCAGATACAATAATAAGTCAATAAATTTTGTCATTTTAAAATGGTATAACAACGATTTATGTATCAAAAGATTTAAAAAAATATATCCAAGAAGGAGCTTGCCCAAATTTTAGTCACATTTAAACATGAAGAAGACCCATGCCTGTGACCTGGACAAGCTGCATCTCCCACCCTAAAAGGTGTACAGGTATCTCTCACTATGTGAATGTTTGATACAAAATTCACTTATACTGTACGAATTTTCTAAATTAACACCTCATTTCTTGTTATGAAATGTCCACTAATAAGAATTTGCGTCTCCGGCAAAAATTCAAGTCGCGAACCCCCGGGAGTCAGCAGCTGGAACATATAACTGAGAGGAATCAAGACTTTATTCTGTGCTACTTACATTTCTCGCAGAACTTCCCAGTGTAGGTTGCAGGGCATTTGCAGAGGAACCTGTTGCGGAAGGGCTGACAGACTCCACCATTTTCACATGGATTAAGCTGGCAAGGGGGGCCTCGGTATCTGAAAAACAGAGAAAGTTTCATATTCAGAATATCGTACTGTATTGTAGATACAGTATTTGTTTGCTTGTTAATTTTTTGTGGGTGTTAGTGATAAGCCTCAGAGTTTTAAGGTAAACAGGGATGGGCATACAAAAATGTTAGTTATAGTATTTTGATGGAAGTTGCATCTTTTTCATTGATCCAGAACAGGTCTTGAAGAGTTTGATGCTGTTACTTTCTCAGATAAGCAACACCCCTAACATAAGAACAATAATATTACAGTACAGGTATTTATTCACTATGGCATGTATATAAACAAAGCAGGTACAGGGTATACAATTTAGCATGTGTATAAACAATGTATATATACAGTTCAGCAGGTACATATTATTGCACAGGCATACAGCGCAAGTATACAACAATAATAAAAAAAAGGCAGTTCGACCAAGGGTAGCCAAGAAAGCCATCAGCTTATTGTCAGTTGTCTATAGGAGGTTATAAAGCTCCACATAAATAACAAGTGTAATATGAAGAAAATGAATCACCAACAAAATGGTTACTCTTTTACACTCTACTTCTCTCTTTCTTCTCTCACTGGCTCTCTCTTTCTCTCCTCTCTGAGTTTAATGTATGTTATGTTTATGATCTTTTAACACTTATTTTATTTTGTGCCCAATTGGCCTCAAATATCAATTACAGGCAGGAGTACAGTGTTCTTTGCCTGTGTGAATCCTAAGTTTAACGCCAAATAAAATCTGCTGGCAACCACAGGGACAGACAAGACAATAAAAAGGCCTTTATAGTAAAGGTTGTAGGTGAGGTAATCCAGGTAACCCAGCCACAGATATAATGTGATTTAATCTTACACTGTGACCCCTTCTAACCACTGAGATCCACCCCTGAAGGGAAGTATGGCACAAGTGCTTCTGTATTTTCCACAGAAAAAAAAAATATTAATTTGAATACTATAAAGGAATATTTTTACTGCTCACATGTTGAAACCTGAAGGTGATGCTACTATGACTCCTTAAAAGTTTAACAACCATATTACCTGCGGACACCTCGTCCACCTGTGGCTCGCTCATCCAAGTTGTCCAAGACCTCAGAGTTGACAAGGAGACGCTGTATGGCTCCGTTGAGGCCCATGATGACACCAGAATCTGAATGTGCCATCGTGTAATTCCTGAGGAGGGAATAATACCCTGGTGAGTTTTCAGAACATTCTGGTAAGTTCTCGAAAGGGATAAATAATATTGTTATAGTTTATGAAAGAGAGACTACCCTTGATAGGTTCTACAAGAGGGAAAAGGTCTTGGCTGGCTCCTCAGGCATAACTATTTTCTGAAGAAAGAGAAAGATCCTTGTTTGCATGGTAAGAGAAGCATTCTGGCTACAGGGCATTGCAGCAGGGCCGGATTTACCAATAGGACAAGTAGGCCATTGGCCTAGGGCCCACCGGTATCTGGGGACCCACTGAAACTAAATTATCGCGCAGCGTGCCAGCGTATAACCTTGTGTCAAGTGTACACCGAGTATTTCATTATATAATATATTCACAACCATAAGGGCCCCTGTACAATAAATATAGGGCCCGGAGTATGGGGCCCCTGTACAATAAGTATAGGCCCGCAGTGGTCTTCAACTGGTGGGCCACGGACTAGGCCCTATAGTAAAATTAAGAAAATAAGTTAAAATAAGATAATTAAAAAATATGTACATTTTTTAAATGTCTGTGTCCCACCACCGATCTATCTATCTGTCTATTTATACATACATATATACTGGAGAGAGAGAGAATAAAGTTCAAGAAACCTTCAGCGCCTTGACATGTGAAGGACAGGATCGTTTCACGTTCAGTACGTGTCGGGGTTACCATTGGTTTGCTGACAGCTCGCTCAGCCAGTCAGTATCTTCTCAGCCTCAGCTCAGTGTGAATGCCTAAATAAAGAAGCTGTTTAGCTTCTGAACGGAGTATGACAGTATGAAATATGATGAACTCAAAGCCCAACTGGAATTCGTTGTCAGTACCTGGAAGCATCTGTTCTAGATGAGTTTTTGCAATTTAAAGACATTTTGTCTCCTGAATCTGACAGGTCAGTGACAAACATCTCCACTTTGCTGAGGTCCAAAGATGGTATTTTGACAACTGCCTTTCCAAACATTAGTATCTTGGTAAGAATTTTCCTTACCATCCCCATTACAAATTGTGAAGGAGAGAGGTCTTTCTCTACTCTATCTAGGGTGAAAAATCACCTGAGGTCTACCATGGGACAAACCAGATTAAACTCACTTTCATTATTATGCACTGAATCTGGCCTCCTACAATCCCTTGACACAAACAGTATCATTGACAAATTTTCCATGAAAAAAGTAGGAAGAATATATTTTGAAATTCACACAGTTTGCTGTACTTCATCTGCTTGCAAAATTGAGTATGCTTCAAGTTAATTGTATTTCTATCATTATTCCCATATAAAAGATGCACATGATACAGAACAAATTTGATAAAAAGTAATGATGTGTCACATTGTGTTGAAATTCTTACTTCTTACATTATAATAGTATGATATTATGTAATATTTGATGAAATTTGGCCATTGCAAAATAATTACAGTAAAATTTTACTGGATTATTACTTTTTCAAATGGCTTTTAGAAAATAGTAATTACATACTTTTGC